TAGGGACGTTTTTTTAAAAAGTAATTTTAATGGGAATACAGCAATCAATATTTGGCTTTTAATTAGGTTTTAGTGGGGTTATTTTGTGTATTTTTGTATGATTTTTTGTATCTTGTATATTGTATTTGTGTTTTTAATATGCTGTGAACCGCCCTGAGTCCTACGGGAGAAGGGCGGTATACAAATTAAATTAACCTAAACCTAAACCATCAGTTCTAGGAGTGTTTTCTTGGTGGCTCACACACATGCAGTAATACCTCCCCACACAAGACTAAGGAATAACTTGGTAAAATGAGCAGAGCACTTCCCTCGTTCCAAAGACAACATCTCCCATAACCACCACCACACTAGATATCACATCACTTGCAAATATGGGAAAGCTTTGCACCATGTAAAATCAACTAAGTCAACAGAAACAACATAATCTCTCTCTCTCTCTCTCTCTCTCTAAGCAGCACTATCATTAGAGATCTATCTGGTGTGTTGAATATCCATGTAAAAACCCCAACAACCTGCTCCTACAAAACTCCCCGTCTTCCCAATTCTAAGGAAGTTCTTTTGATGTCTTTCCACGAGCCTGTTCAGTTGTCTTTGTCTCCATAGTCATTGTAAAGAACACTCAGCATCTGCTCCTCACATGTTTTCTTTAGGTCACGACTCAGCTCCAGCCAATTGAATCCATATGGCTTGATCTCACTGTAGCGGCAGGCGAGGAATTTGAGCGTTGTACGCTGAAGACTGATTTTGGGCTCTTGTAAAAGACTGTGGCACCAGCTACTTAGATCCCCAAGCTGGGAAAGGATAAGACCAGCTTTTCTGCAAAAAGAAACAATGGAAGGGTAGTGGGTTTGGATGTGGCATGTCAGACAGCAATACATTATAATATGAATCATGAATGTGAAACACTGAGGCACTCCACAACTTCTTTCTTGAACTCTGGCTCTTCATCAATACTTATGCAGAAGCTAGACTACACAAACCCAGACAGCTGCTAGATGGTAGGCAAGAGAGACATATGATTCTGGTACTTTGCATCTATCTAGTGGTCAATAGTGAGACCATACATTGGCCAAAAAAGAAAAGCAGAGCAGCCAGGGAGTAAAGTACTGCCCTGAAATACATTTTGTGGGGTAGCTAAGGGCAGCTTTTCCTGTACTTGGTGATATTGGTCAGGAAATGAATTTCTGATGAGAAGATAGCCAACCAATTTTAAGGGGTTGCATGCTAGAGTTGTAAGAAGAGTGGCATAGCACAGCATATTTCAGAGGCACATCAAGGGGCCGCATGATATATGCCAATATAGTTCCTTCCCAATTCTGGAGGAAAGCACGACAAATTGGCTATGTGGATAACCCTTATACATACGAGCTCTTTGTTCCATTTGCATTTCGAATAAAAGTAATCAATTTCCATCTGAAACAAAAGCTAATTTATCCAAAATTGTTGGAAGACTAGCAGACAGGGAAATTCCATAACAATCACCTTTATTTTGCAAAGAATGACGAGAAGAGATATACAATTTCAGATCCTTATCTGTTCACTAAGTTTGACCCTGAAAGAATTTAATTCTGTTTGAGGTTTCATTTTCTGCAACATAAACACTGAGTTCTTTTGTGTCACAACAATTCAATTAATTGAAACAATACAAAAACCTGTGAACATGCTTGATCAAAGGCGAAAGTATAATGGGTACTCTCTTATGAACATGATTTCCTCTTGCAGCAATTTAGGGTGGAAGGGAATGTTTGTCTCCAGCTGGAGGAGAAATGCATGAATGTATGAAAGAGAAAAATGTAAAAAGTGAAGCAATGACCCAGCCTCCTGGTTAAGAATGTGCAAATAATAGGTCCTGACAATCACATAGCCTGATCATCTACCTAAAGGTAGAGACTTCAACACCTGATTTCTAAGTTTTATTATGATCCTTTAGAGACTGCTAGAACTGGAAAATAATCCCTTTTTAATAATTCTAGTTGCTAAGAATATCATCATCATTTGACTGAGAGTTAGGCAACCTAAGATCATAGGGCTGCTGGTGACCATATCTCTGCAGTCATCTTGGCAGTGTTATGGAAATGGTCTCCTCATTTCTGTAATGCTTTAAGTGAGCCAAGTCTCATTAGAACGGCACATGAGGTCAACATAAATCTGAATGCACCAACTTTGACAATAATGTAACTACTTGTTCAAGACTTTTAACTAATTTTAACCTCTTGCCTCCTCTTAATTTATTTTTTTCAACTTTTATATACAGTATATTGTTTTATATTTCAATATTTTATTGGACACCACCCACTCTCTTTGAGGGAGATGAGCAGTACAATAATGTAAAAAACAAACAAATAAGATTACAATTTCAGAAAAGAAGGAAGGAAGGAAGGAAGGAAGGAAGGAAGGAAGGAAGGAAGGAAGGAAGGAAGGAAGGAAGGAAGGAGCATCTTACCGAGGTCCTAATTCATCCTCACAGCGCCAAGTGAACTCCCCAAAGCTTTCATAGTGCTGATTGTAGTGATAGAGGACCCGATGAAGACTTGGGGAGCCCAAATCCAGTAAGGTATTATAAGCTGTTTGTTGTTCTTTTCCACTAGTGTAGCCATTAAAGAGGTTGTAGATCTTATCAGCTATTTCTGGATTGGAGGAAAAAGGGTGGATATAATGTGGATGTATATGGTTTATGCATAATCAATTTTCAGCCTACATGCTCACAAGGCAACTGTTTCATCAGAATTTGGTTAATAAATGATAAGCTTTCTCTAACACCTTTGAGTGAGGCTAGGTGAGGTAGGCATGTCTGTTCATGCAAGGTGAAGACTTTAACCTTGATTGGTTACATTTGGTTTGTTATCTACAGTACAACCCAATTTAATAACTTAATGAACCTATATAGCAGCAAACTGAACATTAGATGAACTTTCAGACTTCTCCCAGCCAAACTAGGAGAAACAAATTTTTACAGAGCCTAACTACAATTTATGCATAATCAATTTTCAGCCTACATGCTCACAAGGCAACTGTTTCATCAGAATTTGCTTTTAAGCCCTAATATATCCAATTGCTGATCCCAAGGTTCAGTTAGGAGACTTCTAGAGGTTACACTAAGATAAACTTAAAGGATCACAGATTCACAGAATTAGAAAAAAATATCAGGCTAAAGCTAAATTGTCACTGAGGAGGCAAATACAGGTCTGACCAATAGCACACTAACATTCAGAACTTTAAAAGAAAAGAAATCATAATTGAAAAAGGACAACAAAGAAAAATTGTAGACAAGTTATTTACTCAGATGTCCTGGCTTCACCATGTTCATGTCAAGAATTGTATGATCTTTTTACATTACAGACAAAAGTGTCTTCCATGGAAGAGATCTGAAGTTTGTTCTAGCACTTTCAAGTGGTCCAAACCCCAATTTGTGGTTGAGACAAGGCTTTTCAAAATTGTTCAGGAAGTAGTCAGAATCTTCAACCTTCCTAAATTCTGGAACTTAAACTTTTCCACAAGACGTTCTGGGCATTTGGGATTGACTGCAACAGAACATATTCTGCTTTCCAACTTGAAAAACAGCTATCTTGTCCTCACATTTTTCATCTTTCCACCTGCTTCATCTCACACACTTAGATACCAGGGTTGTGCCACATAAAGGGATCTTTTTTTGGAAAAGTCAACTGAGAAAGGAAGTAGTCTAAGTTTCTGGGAGAGTTGGTTTCAGGCTTCTACGTTTCCTTGGCTGCTTTGAATGGTGAAAAACTGAAAGGAAAAAGCTGGAGGCATTCTAACAAAGTAAACTGACATTTATTCCATAATATAACAAAGGGTCAACCAAAGGTCTATAATGATTATTTTGCACTATTCAGCAACCTGTAAAAAATAAGGCTTCCTGTGGAAATAGAAAGGCTGCCCTAATAAGCAGCACAAAGAAGAGCAAAAAGAAAAAGAAAAAGTAAGGTGACACTAGGGAATCAAGCTAACAAGGGAAGATATTTTAAGAATGTTTGAGAAACTACACAAATCAAATCAATGGATACTGATGGTGTCTATCCTTACATTACTTTAAAGTATTAACATATTATTTAAAATAGAGCTCAGGGCTAAAAGCTAGAATAGGGGTGTCAAACTCACCATGCCACGTGACCTGTCGCAACGTATCATGACTTTTCCCCCATTGCTGGAGCTGGGGTGGGCCCGGTTTCAGCATGAATCATCCGGCCCTTGGGCCGGCAGTTTGACACCCCTGATCTAGAAGGTAGTTAATGTGACATCCATTTCTAAAAGGAGAGGCCCCCAAAATTATATGTTGTTCAGCTTAGCATCTCTTCTGGGCAACTTGGTAAAAATGATAATCAAAGGAAAAACAACTAAGCATGTAGCATAGCAAACCTTGCTGAAGAAAACAGTGAATTCTGCAAAGGTAAATCTTGTCTCTGCAGTAAATATAGCAGTGACTGAGATAAGAGGACCTGTCATTTTCTGGATTACTAACTAGTTAAAAAAAAGGAGAAAGCAAAAAGTAGAAATAAATGGGAAATTCTCAGTGGAGGGGAGTAAATAAGGAGATCCTCAAAGATCTATGCAGGATTTATGTTTTTTCAACTGATCATGTTTGTGCAATGTTACAAACTGCAGAGCCTGGGTACCTATTGTTCTTTCCTTTCCTTTCCTTTCCTTTCCTTTCCTTTCCTTTCCTTTCTCTTTATTTCCTTTCCTCTGATTCAGCTGCTCATAGAATATGCTTATAATTTCTACTTCATTAATCCACTGTATTAAAAACACTTGATATCAATTAATGTAAACACATTCATTTCTTCTATTCTTCTTGTAGAGCTGAAAGTAAAATGGGTATTCCTGTATAAATAATAAAGAAGCATTAAAGCCTTCCCATTTTGGGGAGAAAAATTCCCAAAGGAATGAAATTTCTTCCTATTCAAAGAATTCAATGAGTTCATAATTTTGTTATGTTTGTAAAAGCATTTGGCTCTATTGCCTTGGGAAATGATCAAATTCACTATATGTCACTAGATACAGAAAAGCAAACATTTTCATAGATTTTTAAAAAAAATAATTACACAAGATTCAATGTAACTCTAATATTTGTGGGTGGAAGAATAAGCTTGTCACCTGAAGAACAATTGGGTTTAAAATAAGCCACTATTCTTATAAGTGAAAGCTTTTTTGTTTTTGCTTTTGTCTTTCCTATTGATGGAAAGTTGTCCCTTACTTGTCATAAAGTTTCTGTCACTTGTCCTTACCGGAACGTGAGTTGACAAAGCACCCGAAGACGCTGTTTACTCATGAAATGACGGTTTAATCAGGAACAAGCTTCTGACGTTAGCAAAGACCTTCAGCCTGAGGCTCTTTACAAATAAAGTTTACGCTGGGAGCTACTGCCTCCCAGCGTTATTTAAATACACTCCCAAGTTCACCCACCCTCCACCAAGCGACACCACCACACCCCCGCTCTCCTACATCACACCCTCCTATTCCCCCAACCAGCATCTTTCAGTTAATTGCCCCATTAGTCTCTCCGTCTGGAACCTTCCTGCCGACGCCCTGTGCTTCTGCTGGCGACGCCCTGTGCTCTCCGGGCTGCCTCCCCTCAGCTGATTGTTAATTACAGCTGCTCGTGGGCTTGCTGACTGCGATGCTGGTTCTCCCCCTCCTTGTGTGTCAAGCCCGGGAGGGCTTGACAGTTACCTTGGGCCTTGATATCATCCACCACTGGACAAGGAGTCTTCACTGTCACATCACTTGACCTGGAGCGTCTCCCAGTGTTATCTACACCCCAAAGTGTAAACCTGAAAACAGAATGGATAATATAACTAGAGGTATGTTATAAGAACCAACTGGATATACACCTAGTATAATGACCTTGGGAATTCGGGAATGATCTTGAGGAAGGGGGAGGGAAGAAAAGCTGCCTAGGAAAGAATCAGACAAGAGAGGCAGGAGTCCCCAGTGGCTTAATGGTCAGAGAAAAATAACATAAAGAGGAACTACCCTAAATGGATTAAGCAGCTAAAAGTGGCAGCGGGAAGTTTTGTAATTTCAGACACGCAAGCTTCTGTTAGCCTTACAATAAAGTAGATTTAGCTCATGTTTCTGGTCTGGTTTAACCAGGAAGGCTAACACCTAGATCAGGGGTAGGCAACCTCAGCTCTTTTATGACTCATGGACTTCAACTCCCAGAATTCCTGAGTCAGCTTTGCTGACTCAGGAATTCTGGGAGTTGAAGTCCATGAGGCATAAAAGAGCCAAGGTTGCCTACCCCTGACCTAGATTCACTTAGAATTAATGCACTTATTTTATTGTATGGTATTTCACAAATATTCCTCAATACATGCAATGTTAAGGTATTTTGCTTCCTTCTATTTTAGTCAAATTTACTGTAAGTGTTCTCCTTTAACTGTATTCCTTAATTTCAAAATCTTATTTCAAATTCATCTGGAAGCTTAGTCTATTGGTAACTTTATACAGAATCAATGTTATAGTACCCTCTTGCTTCTTTATTCCCAAAATATATATTTTTAAATCCTTAAACTTATATTTAAAATTCCTTTCATTATGGATTGAAGGAAACTGGGGTTGTCCAAACCTTGTTGATCCAAAGATTCCTAATACCTGAAAGGCAGTTAACTAGCAATTTCCAAAAGTGATTAGAAAAGCAGGCAAAACCATTGTCCTTAAAGGGGCTGACAACGTCTGAGCAAATATGACCTTCCCTCAACTCCCAGAACTTTAAACCTGCTGACCATGGTCTTGCAGTCTCCTCACAAGGAACAATTGTCTGGAGAGTTTGTGGACAATATCAAGTCTCTCCTTGCTTAGAGAGGAACTACAAAGAGATGGACTGGTTCTTTATTTCACTGTAGTCATTGGCTCTGCTTTTAGGAGAGGCATCTCCAGTTCGTTGTTTCTTTCCTGGAAGTTGTAAACTAGCAAATCTATAAAAGTTCCATTGCTCAATCTTAAGACTTTAAAACACCTTGCCACCAAAATAAGCAAAGATTCAAAATAAATCTGATGAACAGTTCCCCCACTTCTACCCTTACAAAGCTTATAAGGTATACTGAATGCTATTATTTTATCAGCTCAAAGAGTGCAAAAAATCTGTTATTGGCATTGTAACTTACATGTACATAGTGTCAGATTCCAGACAACGAATTATCAAGGAAATAGTTGTAGATAACTTGTCAGGCACCTGGGCTGGCATTGCACAAGGTGATTTGGCTCCAGAGATTATGTCATCCACAAAACTCAGCACCGTCTCTAGGGAAACAGGCAAGCCAGCCATTATGTGATAAAACTGGTAGGAAAAGGAGCAGGAACACAAAGGAAAGTGGGAAAAGTAAAGCCATGTTAATCTAATTTACAGGAGCCAAAATCAGGAGGAGTCAGATAACACTTTTTATGACTAACAATTTATATTAAAAGACCTAAGCCTTTGCAATATACAGAGAAGTGAGATACAGGTAATAAAAGCTAATACATATGAAATGTATCAGTCATAAAAATGCTACCAGATTCCTCTGATTTTGAGGAAAAGGAAGTGTGACCGTGAGCTGATAGTCAAATAGTGCTTGATACTGACACAGTACTTATTAATTTAGTAAACTATTTCATTTTTATGCCCCACTTAATGATCATCAGGATGACATTTCTCTTACGATCCTATATTCTTATCTATCTCACAAAAATATTGTTTGACAAGTTTTTTGGCTTTTCCCTTCTCTGTACAAATGCCTCCTCTAGGTTTAGATCATGGCAACTTTAGCCTAGTTCCATTCTCATAGTTCATAGGACAATTAATTCCAAAACATGGGTGTCACAACTATGAGGATCCTAACTCAGATGTATTTATTTATTTAAGTGATTTATATAGCCACCATATTACAGCAATGACTCTGGGGTAGCACACAAAATTAAACAGCAACAACCCAACAGTCCAAACCACAGAGTCCTAGATTAAAACAATAATCCCACATTATAAAGAAACACAACTTGCCTAACACTTTGAACCAAATGCCTGAGATAACAACTAGGTCTTCAATGCCTTATAAAAGGCTACCAAGTCATTTAGATTTCTGGAACAATGCTTCTTCCATAGTATAAATGCTGCCAAAGAGAAGGCATGACTCCTGAGTCCAACAAAGTAACATTAGTTGATGGAAGGAAACTTAAGCCTTCCCTGCTAGAGTTGGTGGGGTGGACAGAAAATCTGGGAGACACATGGTGCTGCAAGTGGCCTGGCCACGTAGACCTTTTTAAGGGATAAACAGCTCCTTGAATTGCACCTGGAAGTCAACTGGAAACTAGTGTTATATAGGCATAGTGAAAAATGCCAAAAGTGCCCATGCTGCTGCATTCTGGATCAGCTATAGATTCTGAGAGCTCTTCAAGAGTAGTCCCACATAAAGTGCATATCAGTAATCCAAAGAGAAGGTGACTAAGGCATGAGTCACTATTGGTGAAGCTTCCTTTGCTTATGGTGCAAAGTCTAAGAATGGGCGCAATTGGTGCATAAGATATACCTTTGCAAAGGCTTCCCTAGTTACAGCATTTTGAACTGAAGCTGTGAGTCCAGAAGAACTCCAAGATTGTGCACCAAGTCTAAATGGGAAGTACACCCCCAGGCAGAGTAAAAGATAGAAACTCTCCACCTTGTGTGTGTGTGTTGTTTATGTGCATGTTTTAAAACCCACAACCATTCAGCCTCCCCACTTCCTGAAACAGAAAAGAACCTTGATGGCAACAAGATGGTCAATGCAGCGCAGAGATGTATAACTGGGTATCACCAGCATATTGATGATACTGCACTCTGTACAACAAATAACCCCACAAAGCAGTTTTATGTACAGGATTGGAGAAAGGGTAAAAATCGTCAGCAACATTTCTCTTAAGACAAGTGACAATCCTTGGAATACTACAATTCATATCATTAGAGATTTTAAAGTTCACAGCAGCACAAGAACAAGAACACAATGACCATTAACTATAGCCATTGGAATTATGTGTCTTGAAAATAGGGACTTTCTCTGCAGTCTTTGTACCAACTGAATTTTCAAACTAGAATTGAAAGAACATTCAGATCTAAGTCTATAATTTATAATGCATTCAGGTCAGAACAGATCCAACCAGTATTATCTGCAAAACAGAATGCAAACTGGGAAATTTGGATTATATTGAAAATTTCTTCACTATTTCCTGGGTATCAGTAAATAATGGGGTGTATTCATTTGGATTAGTCTGCTGTTAATCCTGAATAATTACAACTTTGTTCTAATGTTATATTTTGCTACTGAAATTATACACAGTGATATGAGAAAAGAGTCTGCATTTTCCATGGTTTGCATTTAGCTCCCTACTAAGCAGTAAGATTTAAAATGAGATAGATGTTTGAAGAAAGGGAAACAGAAAGAAAACAAAAAAAACCTCAGAGCATGAATATTCCAGTAGTTTATTTCCTTAATACAGTATTATATCTTAAGGCCAACGTGCTAATGGGAAAGAATTTTATTTTAATTAAATGTTTTAATTGGAACTGTTCTAGATACAAGTTGGTAACCAATTTCTCTTCATTTATTTCTTAAGTTTTGACCATCTTCGGAAGGATCAGCTGCACTCACCAGTTTCCACCTTCGAATGGTCCAAGCGGTCAGTGATCTTCTCCTGGCGGATGAGGTAATCCACAATCTGCACGCCAATCGGTGGCTCTGAGTGCTCCCATTCCAGCACCACTAGGGAACTGCTGGGCTCATGAACTGTGGACAGTCTCAGCCTGCAGGGACAGGAGGGCAAAACAGAGGTTGGGAAGAGCTTTACACGAGGAAATTAGATTTATTTTGGGACAAGTCATGCGTATACAGGAGGAAAGGACTCTATTTAACCAGAATAATACCATCCTGCTAATAGTTAATCTAGAAAGGAATGCAAAGTGGTTTTTAAACTGAACATGAGTAATGGGTGAGAAAAGCACATTACATGGTGCAAAATGACATTATCACAAGCAATGGCAGAATATTAAAAAACATTTGGAACATTTCTGATATGAGTCATATCTAATAGCTTGTTTCAGTGTGTAGAGACAGTTCCTTTGGTAAATTGATTAATTTTAGGTGACTTCAACAGATTGTAGATAGATTAACCCACAATCAATTTCATGCAGCTTTGATGCACAAGTGGAAATTTGAAACATAATGTCATCTGAAATAGAAATTGTTGAATTTTATGCTTTTTTATAATAGCAGTAATTCATCAGTACAGTGCAGATAATAATCATTTTACCTTGAACCACCAGAAAATCAGTTTTTCAACACAGACCTTGCCATTGGGGAAGAAACTTAGCACATTCTTCTGAATTCTTTCAAAATTGGCTGGCATTTGATTAAAATAGCTGTTACAAATTAATGTTGAGTCAAGGTTTATCTTTTCTAGTTTAATTTCTCCCTGCCTGGCTGCCCTGCAACTGAAAAGGGCACAGTGACCCATTTAAACCATTACCTAACTCACTCTCTTTTACTCAGATTAAAATGATATTTCCTGGCTTTTAATCCATTTTGTTCTCTGTTTTTAAGGAGCAAGCAATTTTTTGTTCATCTTATTTGGAATGCTGGATTATGAAATCCTTAAGTAAGTAGCTCAAGTTATGAAAGTGGTGGATCAATCACTGTAGACACCAGGTTTAACAGTATTGTGATAGAACCACAATGGAATTATTCACCTACAAGGCACTTCAGATTATACTGTATACCGTACACTGCTTTTGCTCCAACAAATTGATGTGGTTACCCTATAACAATTTCAGTATGGTAGTGCAGTTGAAGTGTGATTTAGGACTGGAGAGACCCAGGTTCAAATGTACTTTTTATTATAGAAGCTCGTGGGGTGATTTTGGGCCAGTCTACTTCCCAAGATTATTGTGGGAAAATACAGAATGGAGGGTTGAAACTGCATAAGGGACAGTTGAGAAGTGTTTAACAAGAGAATGGGAGAAACTTCCAACACCATGTTTGCATCCAGAAAGCAAACTCTTGTGTGATGAGCCCCTTTCCTCCCTCCTTTTAATTCAGCCCTTCAGTGGAAGCACTGACTTCAGGAGAGAAGGAAAACTCCTACTTTTCCTTGTCCCTTTAAATTCAGTGCTCCTGGATTTTAAAGGAAGAAGGAAAGTGTGTGTGCCCATCTGGGGTGAGGTATTTTTTCCATGCAATGTTTGTTACTCTGATGCAAGGGAGTACACAACAGAGATGAATCTGAGAGAGATGGGCGGTTAAGAAATATGGAAAATAAATAAACAAACAAACGAATGAATGAATGCAAGCGTATATCGGATGAGTCTATCTGTTCAGGCAAGGATCTGAGTATGCCACTTTTCCTCCCATAGCCAAACATCTGTTTTGATTCTTCTTCTCTTGCTAAATTGCTTTAAATTGCTTGCCTCCAGAAGTTGTGGGTGCTCCATCAATGGAGGCTTTTAAGAAGAGATTGGACAGCTGAAATGGTACAGGGTCTCCTGGTTGAGCAGGGAATTGAACTAGAAGACCTCCAGGGTCCCTACTAATTTTGGTATTTTTTTAAACTATGGAGTAATTCAGGTCTCAAAATACCACTTTTATGGAAGATCTGGATCTTTATATTAGATCAACTAATGGATGAAGTTTTATTGCTTTCTATGTTTTTTAAAATAGCTAATTAGGTGTCATAGGCATCCAGCTGGAAACTGGGAGCCTGCGAGATCTAGTCCTGCCTTGGGCACAAAGCCAGCTGGGTGACTGAGGACCAGTTCTTCTCTCTCAGCCCTAGAAAGGAGGCAAGGCCAAACCAATTCTGAAAAACCTTGTCAAGAAAATTACAGATCCAAATTGACAAACTGATCCAAGCAGTTGCTAGGCATCAAAACTGACTCAAAGGCACATTCCCACTTACAAATAAATAAATCAAGGAGAGAAGCAACTTAGAACTAAGGAGAAACTTCCTGACAGTTAGAACAATTAACCAGTGGAACAACCTGCCTCCAGAAGCGGTGAATGCTCCAACACTGGAAGTTTTTAAGAAGAGACTGGACAGCCATTTGTCTGAAATGGTATAGGGTTTCCTGCCTGAGCAGGGGGTTGGACTCGATGACCTCCAAGGTCCTTTCCAACTTTATTATTATTATTATTATTATTATTATTATTATTATTATTATTATTATTATTATTATATAAATAAAAATATTAATTTGGTATTTATGGGTCAATTGCCACCACCTGGAACTATTTACATTTACAACATTAATCGACATCTTTCAGTAGCATTTTCAGTCTCAATGATACCTATTTTATTAGACAGGATCATTAAATCCTGAGACCAAAAAGCCCACAAGCAGCCTGAATGAATAACTGTAATCAATAAACCAATTTCCTATGCAAATTTAAAAGAAGGAATAGAATAAGGAACCAGAGGCCCCCATTTTGCCTCAACAGTTGGAAAATGGTTTAACCTCACTAAATGCCAAAAGCCTCACTAAAAACTTAGATTATGGCTTACATAACAAAATGTCTTTCAGATTTATCAGATCCCTCTGCATTTGTACAGAAAGACAACGAGTAAATCATTTTAGCCATTGATATGATGATGAGCTTCAGGGCTAATAAGCCGTAGTGTAATTATTTGTTATCCTGTTGCTGGTGAAACATCAGGATACCAAATAATTATACCATGGCCTATTACTCCAGAAGCTCATCACTACTGGATTAATGCTGGCTGTGAAAGCCTGCATTGCTATGTAGTAAATCACTGTATTGTTGAAGATGCAACCAGAATAATACTTGATTTTAATACATAAATCTGCAATATCCTAAAGTTACTATTTTCTGGGAAGAAATGATTAGATATACTGATTATAAAACAAAGTTTAATATTTCTCAATGTACACACATTTTAAAACTATACAGCTAATACATGGAAACAGATAGTTGGAAAATGGAAATAGACTCTCCCGGCTCATATTATTGCCAAAAGAGAAGTTCTTCAACATTGGAAGGATAAATTTATGGCCCCAATTATTTATAATAGATATAAAAAAACACTTGATCAGCATACTTGAATTTCAAATCTAGAAGATTTTAGCCTCCAGTAGAAAGATGTTATCTTGGCTCAGATTTATCCATTGAAAAAACAGTCTTAAGATGCCAGTTCGTCTATCTAACTTGGCAGAATTCTTGCACCAGAAGTACCGAAAATGTAAGATCTGTTCCTCCACAGTATCAAGTTTTTTTTCAATGTACAATCTATCTGGGCTATAACCTCTATTTCAATAATATTTTTGCTGTGCAAGATTCAAAAAATGCCAAGGTACTATTCAACCCTATGGTGTGTCATATTCTGGCATTTCCTCTGCAAAACACATTCCTCATGGACTGTGACTCTTAGAGAATCTGTAACAGTGTTCTGTGAGCTAAGGCAATGGCAGAGTTCCTGTTTTCCACTCAGAAAGTTCCAGGTTAATGTTGTGGCCACTCCTGATATAGACCTCATAGTGGAAGCCTTAATAGCTTCTTTAAGTCACAAAACTGAGTTAGATGGACTAGGATTTGAATAAAGCTTTTTCCATGTCTCTACATGCAACTGAATGGTATTTGTGGAAGAAAAATAGAATGGTCTGCTTTACTGGTAGACATATATAATGTAATACATATATCCTAGAATCATAAGATATAGAGAAATTAATAAGAAGTATGTCATGGTTCTGACAGATGAATCTCTTCAAAAGAACTTCAAGGCATTGTTTTCATTAAAGAAGCCAAAAACTGAATTCCCCTCCCCGGCACAAAGTAAAAAGGCACAATTCCCTCCTCCAATTAACAGTCATAAATCACATTCCCCAATTAACTTGAAGCGGGGGCTTTCTCCCCAACTCTCCAAATCTCTATCAGCTCTAGACCTAATAACCTTGGATTTGCACGGCTGAGTTATTACAGTTATGACTAGCTGGGCTCTCATCCACATTCCCCCTCCCAGCATCAACTAACTCTAAAAGCGACAGAGGAAAAATGGCTGCATTTCCATCTGTTGTCAAAGCAAGAACATCCGATGTTAGCAGCGTTGACAAAGTATTTCACAGAAAGCATGGATTTTATTTCCTACACAGCTTTATAAAGCCACTGCCCTCTGCAGAATATGAGGAACTGAACATATTTAATGGCATTTTTTCTGAAATTTCTTTTGGGTATTGTGGAGCATTAAGCTTTAATAAGATTTTAAAAATATAATACTTCTATGGATCAGAAAATCTCCCAATTGTGGCTTTAAAAGGTTTCTGAAAATAAAATATAGTTCAAAGTAAGAGGATTTTGAGACTTCACACTTCCCAAAGTTTCTCTGATTGATAACCATTTCAAACCCTGACCTGCCAAGATATTTCCTGGCTATTTCCACCCATTTTCCATTCAACAGGGAACAAGAAAGCCATTGATCATGTCCGCTTCCTCTGGAAATGCAGGTGTTCCAGGTGGCTCTGAGACAGTGATAGCGACACTATTTGTTACAAAGAAGAATGCTTAACATGGCCACATTTCCCTAGAGAACATTAGCATGATCTTAAGTTTGAAAGTTTGACACTGTGCACCTACACAGGGTGTGGGAGTGGTGCACAGGCTGGAAGTCCATCTGCGCCAAACGCACTTGAATCACATCGACACCAGTCCTCAATGACATCTCCACTGCCTGAGCACCACAGGGAACTCATGGTGGCCTCTTGCAGCAGCTAGAAAGAGAGAAAGAAAAGCACAGAAGGAAATAAGGAATATGTGAAAAGATCCCCACCAAGATCAGCCCTGAAACTTACTCTTTGTGTTTATAGAATGAGACAATCAACAAGGAAAAAAAAATCTCCTTCTATTTATTTTTCCCTATGATGGCCGGGATACATCTTACACGAAAGGTTTCTGGTTTGGGTAGAGGCTCCTTTGGACTATTTTTCCTATTTACTTCAACAATATCAGATGATTTTGCAATCTGAGGCTTACACTGATCAAGCCAAAAAATAATGAACAGTGCAGTCTAAAGAAGAGTTCTAATTTTGATCACTTAAACTTGAATAAAGACCTTTGCACAAAGGTTTCCTTCAATTTTGCTCAGACAGTGTGAGGAATACAAGAATTCTTCTATTGGATCTTGCTGCTTAACACAACATTGTCAGGACCTGGAGGGGCAATAGCCTATAGCCCCATGCCCTTTACCTGAATTCAAATGTCCTCCCCTGGTTTATTGATTGAACAAATCACACTCAATATACAGCCACAAACCTCAAAGCAGGACGAGGGTATTGCTTTCTAATTTCACTTTTGGAACAGTTAAAGAGGAGGAAAACATCACCAGCTATTGCATGAATGCTGGCAATTCAAGGTGAATAAATAGAAAAATAAAGGAGGACCAAGTCACTGTGAAATTTGCCATCCAATTTAATTCCCCTGTTTGCACTGAAAATGTTTACAACATCTGAGTCATGTGTATTGGAATAAATTGCTACTTAGCAGACCAGTCTCACTGGGATATTGAGCTTGCTCTAACTTGAGTCATCACTTTTCCTGCTCTCTGCTCTCCACACCTGCTCTCTGCTGCAATTCTTTCTACTTAATGTGTTTATAATATGTTTACTTATTTTCAATATTGCCACCATATATCACAACGATTTTTAAGTCAACCCAATATTATTTTCATATTATTGATAGTATGTGAAACAAGAATGGTTTACCAAAGGCTACATAATTAGTTTTCATTTTTCATTTCATTTCATTGTACTTATGAACTTAGACCAATAAAACACAAATACATAATTTAAAATATGGGCAGGGGGAAGGGATATGAAACAATAAAGAGAAGAGGATCTGACTCAACCTCCGTATCTGAGCAAATACACATACAGTTATTTTATGGGAAATTAGTATATTTGCTTATAGTCTCCATAATAACCTATTATTACATAATTAGTTCATGGTTGATCTAAGAGATGTGTAAGAAATGTCTTTATTCTTTATTCACCACAGGGATTTTATGTAGCAGACCACTATGGTCCTGCTATGGTGAATATCAATGAATCTGAGAGATATAGCCATACTACTGTACATATGTTCTTTACTAGAGACTGGCAGCAGTGGAGTACATGAGAAGGACAGGAAAGGAAGATTTGGCAGCTTAGCAGACATGGCAGAGAAGATTGGTGTCACGGACATGGTTTCACTTCTTGGCTTCTTATTGTGGATAGGGAGATATCTTTCCAACTCTTGGGAACTTCAAAGCAGACATCATTATATCAAGTACTTTGGATAGTCCTGTGAGCTGCTACAAACAGTTTTGAAGATTCTGGGCCTATCTCAAAGCAATATGCACATTCGTATGCATACGGATATTTCCACATGTATTATTTTCTACCCAGGCAGAGAATTTGTGCAAGCAGATGTTCCTAAATTTCCATTTTGTCTGTACCATGGTTAGAAAACCTGCACATTTTCAGTTGACCAAACAAACCTCAGAATAAAAAAAAGGAAGATTAATTAATTAAGAAATTACTGCAATTCTGTAAAAGGGGATCAGGATATGGGTTCTCCAAAATACAAGGAGAATCTATGCTGAATCTTAAATAACTCACATTTTATGCTGTTTTGAGTCATTATGCTTTTGAAAAGAAAAGCCAGAAATGTCAGTGTATGCCTTCCTGCATTGTTTTTCTTTTAACTTTTCTTTTTTCTCCTGCAAACCATCTAATTAATTTCAAAATTTGAGATTCTCAGAAAATGTCATGGAATATTTATTTTGGAATACTTATTTCTTTTTACCTGAGACCCCACTGGTTCTTTTCATCACTATGAAAGCACTCACCTTCTGAGTCTGATTGTTGATGACCAACTCATAGATGGGTGCTGCTTTTGTGACTTCCAGGAGGATGGGTTCAGCCACGGCATCTGGGCTAGAGGTCACATGACATAAAGGACAGGAGGAGGGGCAGCGGCCCCTGCTTTGGCACTCCATGCGCACCCCAGCTGCCATGCGTTTGGTCCCGGATTCTGACAAACTGGCAATGTATTCTGGAAAAGTGAGGACCCTGGGATCTCGCTCACGCTCTTCAGATTCATCTGATGGGGAATTACCTGCAACATATACCACTGGATAAAATCAGAAATCAAAGTGGAATAAGCAACCAGAGCCCTACAAATCTGAGAGAAGCTGCATATATACTGTAAGGGTGTGCAAGCATTCTCGGGACACTGATGTGGTTTTCAAATTAGGCTTCACCCTATATTTCCAGCTTCTAGTTGTTGTGTTGTTTTATAATAACAAATTTTCTATTGTGACCTTCCTCCCTTCTCCCCCCAATTTGGGAGCTGTACTTGGTTAATGATGCTTGTAATCTTCTATTAGATATTGTTAGTTCATATTTTTCCGGTATTATTGGAGTTACGTTTAAAAGTATCAGCTTATTTTCCTTCTCAGCACAGAGTAAAACATGCATAATTATTTTAGCCTTTCCTCGTGTTACTAACCTTCCAAAAGCTTGCACATCACACAAATTCCTCCTTGAACTGATTCCTTTTTTTAAAAAAAATATCATTAAAAGTGTGTATCCGTGTGTGTGTGTTGTACGTTTCTATATAAAAATTTCATATGTACAATGTATGAAAATCAGAAAAAAGAAAACTAAAGAAAAAAGACACTCTACATATTATTGAACATGTAGAGGCAACACTTAAAAAACCCAGCATTATATCTGATCACTAATATTGGTCAGTTTTTTCCTTATACATTTTGGAAAGCAGTCCATAAACAGTCTATGAACATGTATATCAATTCAAGATTAAATGGCCAGGGTTGCAATGTCATCTCATCCTAAAAAAAATTCTTTGCTGACTAATTTCTGATTTCTCTTTACTTATCTTTAAAAACAAATTCAAAGTAAACAGAGTTTTACAAACAGTGTACTCTAGATAGTACTCATTCTCTGTTAACACGATTTTCTCATTCTCTGTGGAACTGGATTTTAACATCATATCTGTTTAATGTGATAGAAAACTACACACTACGAACTACACAGAGAGGCACGAATTCTTAAATCAAAGATGGTGGAAACACAACACTCCTCAAATAGACCTCATCTTTACTGGGTATGTTTCTACTCCAGTTCCCGTTTACATATGCAATTAAATCCTTCCCAATTTGCAAGAAAGCAAAATATGTAAGTTGGAGATCAAAGGGGATGAATTCCACACCAATTATTCTGGTGAGAAAGAGAGAAGTTGTGAACATAGAATAATATCTGCTGCAGCCAACTGCATCCAATATGCACAGAAAAGCTTCTGATATGCTTTATTCTTAGAGATGTACTTTAAAAGGATGACCAATACACAGAACTGCTTTTAAAGTGAACTCTGGAGGAAAGCCAGAAAAAACTGGGGAGATGTGATGGAATGTAGTCAGCTGGATTCCAGGAGGGTGGGGGCGCTTTCCAGGAATAAGAGACAATTCTATCCAGATTTTTTTGTGTGAGAGAAAGAGGGGGGAGACAGCCCCTCCCTAACAGTTCTTAGAAAATATGGTAGATGCAGATAGTAAAGTGCTTAATCTGACCAAAATAAATGTGGAAACATTAAGGAGCTCAGTTTGGAACCAGGATCTCATTCTTTGGGCCTGACAGTAGCCTTCTGTGCAAACCAAATGTATAAAGAACCAAATGCACAAATAATTAAAAGAACCAAATTTAGATTATATAAAATTTGCTCATGAGTGGAAGGTATTAAAGAAGATGAAGAGTTGGAGAAAAAAGACAACTGAACCTGTTGATGGCTTATTAACTAGAGAGGAATCTAAAGTGAAACAGGCCATAGTCTGGAGAAGTGTGCTGAAGAGAAAGACGAGATGCTCTGGGAACTGTCCACCCAATGTAAATGACAATGATGGAAGGCAAAGAAAATGGAAAGTGGCAGGATTACCAGTAAAAAAATAATAATAAAAAGTCAACTGTCAGCCTGAGTCTCAGAGGGAAATTTGCTATCAGAATCTGTAAGGCCTCAACTTCCTGAAAGCACCATAGCAAGTTGAAGCCTGGCTGGCTTTTACTGGCTAGCAAGATAGCTTTTGTGTAGGGAATCGCTATTGGATGCTGGATCCAAGTCAGTGTAATCTCCCCTGACCAAAGGAGAGATCACTGAGATTGTTTACATGACTTCAAATAGCTGCTCCTCATGAGTAGACAATAGAAACTGCTATTTTTATGATCAACTTATATATGGAGAGAGTGAGAGTTGGGACAATATCAAACACACACTTGCAAAGGAGCCTTTGCAGACATTAAGCATGACTGAACCTTTTATCTTAATCATTTTTTTTCATATTAGAGAAATTAAGATCCTTCAGACTGGCAAGGTTTTACTGTATTCATCGGGTGAGTTTCTTTCTGTTTAAAAGATGATGATCTAAATTTGACTTTAAAAGTTTTAAAAATATGATTGTTTTTGGACCATGCAGCAAAAAGGTGCTTAGTAGATGGATTTTGGAAAGTTAATAACAGATTAAGAGGCCAAGGGATTTGGGATTATAGTTTTGAATTATTTAGAAGATATATTCTAATGGGAAAATGGAGATTTGCTTTTTTTATGGTAAGGAGATCTTGACTGCTGGATACTAGAGCTAGAGGAGAAAAAAATGGAGCAGAAATCCTTAGTGCAAATTTTTGAATGGATCAAATGCTTGATAAAATTAACAGACCATATTCTAATGAAGTTGTAAACAAGAATGAGTTGCAATGGATATCCATGAAATTAATTTGAAGGGGGATTTAAATGTAATACAAATAGATCTGATGGATGACTCTTTCCCCAACGGAGATGAACAGATATTAAAATAGGAAACTGTTTTTTTTTCTTCTGGACAGACAAAATCTGCTAAAATCTGGAAAACCTTTTTAGAAGTTACAATTAAAAGGATACATTTATGAATACAAAATACATTTGTTAAAAGTTCTGGTGGATTTTTACTCTGCAACACAAAAGAACAGTAAACTACCTCAACTTTTTTTTTGAAGAGATTAAAAAATAATTTTTAAAAATCAGGGAAGATTTGTAAGATTGGTTTATTCAACCAGGATTAAAAGAAGGAAATAGTTATTTCTGGTTGCCCTTATAAATATTAGTTGACATAGCATTTGGACCTTGTTTTCATTATCTGAGAGATGAGCTACCGGGAAAAGAGAGATTATGCTTTATTTAGAGATGTTTTCTTTGTCCTTCTCCCTTTCCCTTTGTTTTTCCTGTTTAACCCCCATTTTTTTCTGTTTATTTTTTGTAGTTTTTCCACAGAAACTCTCTCTCCACAGAACTGGTCCATGGTGCCCAAAAGGTTGGGGGCTGCTGTCGTAAGACATTCAACTCTTCACCCTGAAGTCCTCAGTCACCACCAAATCCTCAACAACTGCATTTCAACAATTTAAGGTCAGTCCAACAGAACTGAGTGTCCGCTCAAGCTGTATTAGGCACTCATATTGGAATTCTACTCAAGAAGAAGAACATTACAACAAATATCAGGATCAAATCCCTCAGTACTTTCTAGTAATAAAAGGGCATCTAGACAACATTTAAATTCAGTTGGCTAAAAATTTCTAGTGCAACAGCTTCAATAAACTTGCTCCTAGCTTAATGATAGTTCTTCTCCAGCTCAGTGTTCAGCCTCCTGATTACAGTCACGGCTAAACCTTCTTCTTCTGATTCAAAAGGTCAGACATAGATAAACTCTATGTGCAAGATCTGGGATGGGCTGAATGCTAACCTGGCCATTGTTTTCCAAAAATTAACTAGGTACATGATGGCTAAGACTTAATTTGACTGGGTATCATTTAAATTGACTTAGATGAATCAAATATAATTAACACAGTTAACATAATTACACTCCATTTAGTAATATCTTCCAGCTTCTCTCACAATAAAAGTTATTTAAATGATTGCATAGCCTTAATGGCATTGATTGTGCACTTCAATTAAGCCACTACTTTGAAACAATAGTTTGATGTAGCTTGGAATGATTTATTTCAATGCTTCACAGAAATATTTCAAATTCTGCCAGAAATTTACACCTGCTTTTAATGAAACGAGTTGTAGTAATTTCCAGGACAGAAAGTGAAAAGAAAAAAACCAATTTCAACAGAAAAGTCTGCTAATAATCTAGTGAACGCTAGATGGTGCTATGAAGTCACAGAACACACCAAGTTTGAAATCTTTTATCAGAAGTCTAATAGGAGATATGCATGCACGTTACAGTAATAATCCATAGGATCTGAATTAATAACAAAGGAGCTATAAGTATGCACTCTGGGCAGAAAAAAAGAGTATTCAGATGTTCCATAACTACCAAATGGTGTATTCTTCTATAGAGCAGGAGGTTGGACTCAGTAAACTAAGTTAAGAATTCTCAAGAATTTTGCACTAAAAATGTTGCATATGTGGACTAATTTCAGTCCTCTCTGTTGAAGCCCCACAATACTCTGAAGCAGTATCTGTGTTTTTTGAAATGCACTCCCATGGACAGAGAAGGCAGCAAAGTCAGCTTCAGTGAGAGCTTTCAGAATTTGTTGGTGATGGTGGAGGAGACACTATTGTATTATTATTTACCACACAAGTGTTTGCTAGCAATTCAATGGCTATCATCATGTCCTCTGTCATCACCAATATGATCATTATAAAGGGAAAGAAGAAGAAGAGAAGGAAGTAAACTCCTCTCCAAATTCCACTCAGAATTCTTTTACTAAATTTCAGTTAGAAGAGAAAAATGGTAAAGAAATCTCATCATGCTTCTCTGAGTAATGCTCAGCCATTTGTTCCTGTCTCTGTCCCAGTTTCTCTTATTTCTAAACATCTTCCATCCTCCTTTGGGAATCCATAGAAAAGAGACAACCATGGAGTGAATGAGAAAGATAAAGTCATTATCAGGAAAATGATCTACCCTAAAAATAGTGGTAGGGTCAAGGCTGCATTGCTGAAAGGAAATGGGCTAAGACCAATTTGAACTTGACTCTCTGGATAAATTCAGGACATATTTTGGGTAGGGTTTATGTCAGGTTCTGGCATCCTATATGGTTGCAAAAACCCACTGCATTTTTCACAAC